AAAGGTATGTCTATCTTGTTGATTTTCTCAAAGAACCAACTCTTTGTTACATTGATTCTTTGTATCATTTTCCTTGTTTCTCCTTTAATAAGTTCAGTCCTCAATTTGATTATTTCCTGGAGTCTACTCCTCCTGGGTGAGTTTGCTTCTTTTAGTTCTAGAGCTTTCAGTTGTGCTGTTACTTCTCTAGTATGACTATTCTCCAGTTTCTTCATGTGAGCACTTAGTGCTATGAACTTTCCTCTTAGCACTGCTTTCAGAGTGTCCCATAATTTTGGATATGTTGTGTCTTCATTCTCATTGAATTCTAGGAAATCCTTAATTTCTTCTTTGACCCAGGAGTCGTGCAATTGTAGAAACCCTACAAACTTAGGGAAACTGAATAATGTGCAATATATGAAAATTTTGACTTAAAATCATTTTAGAACATGTTTCCTTTATTCTTTGAAAATTTTATACACATATACAAGGTATCTTGATAAATTCCACTCCTAGTTCCCCCTTCCCACTCCTGGAAATCCCTAACTTATCTTCTTCCCCCTTCATGTTCTCTATTTCTCTCTTTCATTCTGTAACCCACCAGGTCTGTTTAGTGATGCCTATTGGTAAGCTGACTGATCTTGTTGGCTTGATCTCATGCAGGTCTTAGGCAGGTATCCATAGTTCACGGGCACAAAATTTTGTAAGCTAAACTTTTGGTTGAAAAACAAGCCACACAGAATGGAAAATTGTTTAAAAGTCCTGGAATATAGTGGAAAAATAAATGAGGCTTGGTTAAATATTCAAATGTAATGATTGCAGGATCATAGGTAGGAGAATGCTTGACTTAAGAAAGCTGTCATGGCAGCCATTCATGACACAATACGACAGTTGGTATCTAAACCTTGCCTGTGAGTCTGTAGCCCATGATATTCCCTGTCAAAGATATTCTTATTTATTAAAGTACAACCATGTATCATTATTCTTTTCCTAATGAAAAGTAATCATTTTGGATAAAAGAGGGTATCTTGACAGACAGATAAGAATTAGAATGAGTTAGACAATCACCTTGAGAGTTAAAGGACCTTGGGCTATAACAGAAGACAAAACCTGTCTACATGGAGGATTCAAGGAAACTTTAGGACTAGAATGAACCAGGTGAATCTTGCTCTGAACATTTCTGAAGTCATATGGATAAAGAAATGAAGATTTTTTCCCTTAAAGTTTGCACTTGGCATTTGAAGTTTTAGAGCTATTTGTCCCATAGCCATTTCTGTAATTTTATTTCCTTTGAAACATTGGAGCTTGGTGTCAGTCTAAACTGTTTCACTCTAAATCATATTATATGTGGGTATGTATAAAAACATTTCTTTTTTTCTGTTTGTGTGTGTGTGTATATGTGGATACACCCATGGAGTGAACATGGAGGTCAGAGGACAACTTTGTGGAGTCAGTTCTCTACTTCTACCATGTCAGTTCTAGGGATTGGAACCAGGCCCACAAATTTGGTAGAAAGCATCTGATCCACTTCACCAGGCCTCTTAATCACATATTTTGAACCCAGATGACTCCAAGACATGGAAATGTGAATATAAAACAGGAAGGAAGGAATGAAAAGGGATTGTAGAAAAGGAAGATGAGAGATGAGGCAGACATAGGTTGTAATTCCTTGGTGGGAGGTACCAGAATATACCCCTTCAAGACAACCTATCTTAAAACCTCTCACATGAAAAATTGTGCGTATTTATTTTAAATAAAGTTAGCATTTACTCTGAGAAAATATTTGCTCATGAGAGATTTAAAAGTAAATTTCTTTTGAGTTTGTGGACACACCCCTAACCAAGAAGCTATTTGTGATTGATCCCTGCTGGGAGAAGGAAAATCAATTTTCTCCAATGGAGTGACACTGGGTATCAACCACTCTCCAGGGACGGTCCCATGCTTAGGAATAGTTGGCCAACACAAAAGGGCTCCATGTTTTTGCTTGTTTGTTTTTTTTGTGTTTTCTCTTTTGTTTATTGTTTGAGTTTTGGTGTGCATTTTTGGTGTTTCGTTTTGTTTTCTATTTTGCTTAGAGAGTGAGAGAAGGAACATGAAGTTGGGTGGGTCAGGAGGTAGGGAGGATCTGTGATGACTTGGGAGAGCAGAAAGAATATGATGAAAATCCTTTCTATGAAAATTAAGAAAAATAAAAATATATTTTAAAAAATCTAGGATCTAACTAAGCATTGCAGCTCAGATGGAAAACTATCTCCGCAGTCAGGAGTCAAGGAATTCCACAAAATCACTGTAAGCAAAGCAACTTTTAGCTCTGCTCCAGGAAGAGGTTTCCCCACTATAAGTACAACTCTGCTAGGGGAAAGTTTCCCCAGTGAAAGTGTTACAACTCTGCTCCATTCTACTCTACTCCATTCCCAGAGAGTAACAATTCTGCTCCACTAGAGCAAAATTTCCCCAGGGAAAGTCTTAACAGCTTTTCTCTGCTGAGCTCTGCTCTAGCCTGTGGCCAAAGTTGTTACAGCTGGGCTCTGTTCTGGCAAAAAAAGGTTACCTACACAACAAACCTCACTCAAGAGATTTACTGGGAAGGAAGAATCCAGGAGGTGACTGCCTCTAGGGTGAGAAGCAACAGCAAACTGAACAGGGTACAGATATTATACAGGTTTTTTTTGGGGGGGGGGAACAGAGCTTTCCAGGGTGGCTTGGGATTGGTGGACTTTTGCAGCCTGATTCTGGGCCCAGTTCAGGGATTGGTGGGATTTTTGTGCTCAGGGATTGGTGAGGTTTTGTGCTCAGGGACCTCAGGGATTGGTGGGATCCTGTGCTCATGTATTGGTGGGATTCTGCAGTCTGATTCTGGGACAAGCTCAAGGATTGGTGGGATTTCAAGCCCTGCTCCTAGGGTTTATATGAGTCAGGGTGTTTTTCCTTGGCCCTGGTCTCTGGTCTAGCTAGAGGCAAGGTGTTTCTTTCCTTGGTCCTTTTCACCCTACACTAACTAAATGAAGAAACTTGGTAGTCAAAGAAAAGCCAGAGTAAGAAGCACGTGAAAAGTTGGTGTGTTCGAGAGGAGAATTCTGATGCTGTGTGGTGGGGAAGAGATGCTGACTCTGTTATCTCTTCCTTCCAGGCAGACATATGGTTAAAGCTCATCTTGATAAGTGCTCAGCCACAAAGGAAGTCATTTGATCATGTGCTCTGATACTTGCTGTTATGGAAGGAGAAACAACATGGTTGTGGGGAACTGGGTATGAGTACAGAATGTGCTAAGCATTTCAGGAAGGGGAAGGATGAAGCTGTTGACAAACACTGGGGCATAAAATAATTGGGAGGTCATAAGTCACCTTTCAGTACTGTATCTGTGTTTCATGAGTTGCTGTTGACAATTCTCACATAGCAGCACTATGTTCCAACATGGAGGACACACTCAGTCTGTTTTTTCTAAATTTATATTTATTTACAGACATAAGAATGTTTTACTAACATTCTGCATCCTATCTGACCACCATGAATTGAAGCTGGCTATCAACAATAGAAATGTATACAAAAGTATAGAAAGTGTACAAATTAGTATTGTATAAAAATGTGTCAATATAAAAATCAAAAAGCAATTAGACATGTTTATAGTTAAATGAAAACTAAAACATAACATACAAAATCCTATGGGATGTAATAAAGTCATTTCTAAGAGGAAAGTGTATAACAATAAATGCTCACATTAAGAAAAGAAAAAACTGTCAGGTCTTGCCAGACTTTGTTACCTCTCCAGGGAAGGTCTTACCCCCTCTGAGGAGTGGATGAGGGGTGGGAAAGGGGGGTTGGGGGATCAAGGAGAAGGGGAGGGAGGGGAACTTGGGTTGGTATGTAAAATGAAAAAAATGTTTAAATAAAAATGAAAGCCTAAATTAAAAAAAGAAAATTGTTTTGAAATTAAAAGAAGATGAAAATACAATATACATGTTTCTGTTCTAAAATGTACATTAATTACAGTAAGTGCCTACATCAAAATTGGATAAATCTTGTACTAGCAACTTGGTGACACGACTGAAAATGCTACAAATGACACCCTCAGTCTGTTAACTATCCAAATCTCAAATAGGATTCCTGATTTTTTTGTGTTACTAGGAGACACTGTAAAGGACCATTACATTGCTTCAGGACTTTACCCTGGAGAGGAGTGGTTTTGCAAGGGTTGGGTAGGGGAATGAGATTTCTAAGCCAACCATTTTAAGGCTGGGCTCAAATATTTCCTTCCCTGGCAATTCTGTCTTTGAACTCTATTCATGCTCCATCAGGCAGCACTGTTGTAATTTCCTTGATTTTCCAGCAGTCACTGGCCTCTAACCTCCTAGATAATCATTTTTCTTTGTTCTCAGCTACAATACCATGGGCTAGATAAGTTTGGGATCATGGTCCTCAATAGTGACTTCTCCCTGATATGAGCAGTCAGTAGTAAGAAGATTAAGTCCTTTCTGTATTAATGAATAAGAAGATGGGGCTTACCCCTTAATTCAAATAGTGTTTTTGTTAGAAGCATTGATTCCCAAGATGCAGAGGAAAGAAGTAACTGGGGCAGTAAAATTTTGTTTGGCAATATGTACATTAGAATCCTCTATTAATATGCATATCTTAGTTTCTCTTGATATTCCAGAAAATCAGGGTACCATGCAGAGTATCTTGCAGTTATCACATTGATGAACTTGTGACATAGGTATAGCAGATGAAGTTTCTAAAGAGCATGCCTGTTTTCACCTCTGCTCTCTTTTATCTTCTCAGTGCCTACATGCCTCAATATTAGGTTCCATTAATCCCACATCTCAGGCAGAATTATGCTCTAAAATGCTCATGTTTCTTCATTTCATCCTGCTCTCTATTCAGTAGATGTTTCAGTCTTGTTACTTTCCATTGTAGCGAGAGAAAAGAGTCACTGATATCAATCAGCTGGGAGACTTATCTGCATGAAGATAACCATTTGTATTCAAAGTCAACCCATCTTAACTGTCCACCCAGAGCACACCACATCTCTACATAACAGTATCCTTCATTCCTAGGTAGCTTAATTCATTAAAAATATGGATGCAGAAAATAAGAGCAGAGCAGATCTTGCTCTCCCAAATCCACAAGAATCCCCCAGGTAAGCAAAGATTATTGCTATTTCCATTGAAGTTATTTATCAAGGCAGAGAAATTCACAGATGCCAATTCATAGATCTATGCACGGGCTCAAGTAAGTTACTTAACTGTGTGGAGTATACATTCTTAGTGCTTTCTTCTCTCAGCAGTTGGCAGCAAGGTTTTTGCTTGCCTTGAAAACTGAGAACACCAGATTTTCTAACATTAGAGACTTGCAGTTTGGGGTACTAGGGAGTTTGAACATGCAGATCTCTTGCCTCTGTGTCAAATGTGTTTTAGGTGTCAGAGGCTTTCTATGATGACTGCATTTCAGGTTGGCCTTTGTGAAACTTAAGGCATGGCATCCTGCACCCAAAATTAAAATAGAAATGAAAATTGAACTAGCACCCCAAAGCAGTCCTCTGGGTATGAAGTTGTGTGCATTGACAAAATGCATGCAAATATGTTTCTATGCTAAAATGACTATGAAGTCAACAAACTTATTTGATTGGTTTTGTTTTAATTGTAGATAGAGATTGGTAGAAGGGACTTACGGCATGAAGCATGGTTTTTCTTCTCTTCTGTTCAATGTAAACGGATAATATTCAGATGTCTGTGGTTGATTCCTTTGACTCTTGGAGCTGCCTTCTCAGGCACTACACCAAAGAGTTAAATTGCAGATCTCTTTTGAAAAACAACAAATAACACTCTTGGTTCTGACAGAGTCACACAGGCAGTTGATATGGTTGAAATTTTGTAAATTTCAGTGTGCCTGACATTGAGCTTTTGGAAGTATCTCCTGCTGCTGAAGCTCTGCCAGAGAAACCAGCGCTACCCCCACCACAGCAGACATGGCAGACAGTTTTGAAGAGCGATTTGGAGTTTCTGGGGGTGAGTGCCTAGCCTCCATTCTCAACTCAAATCCAGGCTGCCTCTAGGAAAGACTTTGGATATATTAACATCTCCTCTTGTTGGCTGATGAGGAGTGATATAGGTTCTGTAATGTTCTTGACAGGTGAGGAATTGATGATACTCTGCACATTCTGGGAAGAGAGAAGCATTTTCTTATGAATACACTAAGTTACTGGAACATTAATGGGAAACAGAAACAAAGGATAGATACATAATGTCTGTTGTTAATTAGAAAGAACAGTTGCTCGTGTCCACCATAATTATGTAAATAAAGATGTGTGTGACATATATTGACCACAAATGCGTTAGAGCCTGCTAGTTACAGTTCCATCTTTTATAGTGAATAGAAGACAGTAGAAAATCTCACATCTGGTTCAATCTTAGAAAGACCTATGGCACTAAAGAGATGTTTCCATTTTCAATCTTACTTACAGAGAAACTGGTACAGTCTTGAGAAAATATATCCTAACTTTATAAAATTCCTGTCTTCTGCAGGTAACACAAATTCTGGTTGGCTTGGTATGCCTTTGTTTTGGAACAATTGTCTGCTCCTCAGTGTATGTTTCAGACTTTGATGACGAAGTGCTCCTATCATATAGAGCAGGCTATCCATTCTGGGGAGCAGTGCTGGTGAGAAAACATCTGTCATTTCTGAATTAATGCTTGATCACAGGTTTTCTTTTAATCAAGTCTAACCACTTTGATAAAATCTACAGTTTTTCACTTATCTGCATATAGCATCTCTAAATGCAGTTTCCAACGCTCTCTCCACATATAACTTATTAACAAGAGTAAAAGATTCTTATCACCCTTAGATGTTTAAACCATTAACACACTTATTGACAGAAAATCTTGAGTCTGTATGAAATTGTAAAAGAACAATACATTAATATTTAAATGATTTGCCTAAGACTTGTATTCTAAAAAATGCTAAAGTACTATTAATAAAATTACAGGCTAAGTACATTTTACCCATTAGTAAAAACTAAGTTAAGTCTGGAGAGAGAGAGGCCGTGGTAGTTAAGTGCCTGCTGCTCTTCCACAGGACATGAGTTCAGTTCCAAGGACCATGTCAGGTGCTCATGCCTGCCTGTAACTCCAGCTCATGGGGATAAGAATATTCTTCTGAATGTATGTGGCAGAGGAGCATCAGGGACTATATGAGAAGGCATGCAGGCAACAATCATCACCCCAAGATTCTCTATAGAAATGCTCAAAGGAAGTTTGTTCTGCTAAATGGATGGAATATGGTACAAGTCCAACATTATCAGGCCAATATAGCTACGGCTTATGTCTTCCCAAAACAGTTCATTTGAAGAGAGTGGAGGAAGCCCTAAGTAAATGAAGTTCTTAGTAACTGTGCATTGTTCACCTGGGCACAGCCAAATTGAGTACTCCAAGGTCTCAGAACTATATGGGATGAAGAATGGGAGAGCTCTCCTTGCAAATTCACATATGAGTATTTATGAATGGTTGGCCAGTATGTGCAAAGATTAGCAAGTGCAGCTAAAAAAAGAACTTTCTTCTGGTCTTGGGCATTTGTATACATGCGGTATACACATACACACACATACATATACACTTGGCTGATAAATTTTAAAAAATCTTTTAAAAACCCACAACGGCATAAAAGGATGTCTTTAAGAAGGGAGGGAAAATATTGCTCTGGTGAGAACAATACTGGATGGATATCTGTTGAGCCGTTGACATGCTTTTGGACACTAATGCATTTGATTCCTTTTTACATTCCACTATCTGGAAAGCAGGTGGCTGAATGAGAGCACATTCTATGTATAGAAGGTGTAGAATTTGGTAAGATTTCACACACAGACACGCAGACACACACACACACACACACACACACACACACACACAATAATAGCACATATGTTACCCTCAGTACAATGAGCCTGTCTATTTGAAAGTTATGTTCGAACCCTTACAACTCTTCCTGTCTCTGTGCTCCCCGAAACAATCGCTGTAATGGACAGTTTTCAGTTTTTAGAGCTTTGTAGAAACAGAATTGACGGCTACAGTGTCTCAGATATCTGTCTTTCTTCATTCCATATTGCTATTGTGTTACTTTTATTGATAATCCAGTTATAAACATATATTTAAATCTAAGAAAAGTATGTTCACAATGCAGTACTCAGGTGGAGGTCAGGGAACAATCCTAAGATGTCATTTCTCTCACTACTTTGTAGAATTTAGGAATTGAACTCAGGTCATTGAGCCTGTGTTGTGTTATAAGTACGTTTACCTGCTAAACTATATCATAGGCTCAAATATTTAGCTTGTTAAGTTCCCCCTGGACACACAAATCACAGTTTCTTAGAGGGTGTTCTGAATTTTTACTTTTACTAAATATTTCCATATTTACATTATGGAATATGTAATAACTACATGACCATGTGCTACTGAGCAGACTCCTTAGGTATGCATAGCATGGATACAGGTTTCTGGCCTGGGGGAGCTAACAGTGTAGGACAGGACATAGAAGAGAGCATTACAGAAAATGAGACTGCTACTGCAATTGTACATCAAATGCCCCTAGTTCCTGCTGTCTACCCAGGAAGTATCAAGGTCAACCTCACGGGGGGGGGGGGGCTTTGCAAAAACAGAGAGCCACAGGTCCCATTTAAGACCTACTATGTAAGAGTCTGCATGCTTCCTTTTTTTTTTTATTTTCTCACAGAGTAGCTCAGGCTTCCCTCAGACTTACAATCTTCCTTCTTCAGCCTCTTGAGTGCTAGGCTCACAGGCATGTGCTCACTCAGTTCAGACCCTGATTTTTCTCAGGACCTTCACCTGGTTTGTATAAGCAGCTGACTTTGAGAAGCCCCCTCCCTCAGGAGCACACCTTATTAACTGACACACACACAAGGAGCCAGGAGGTGACTACTTGGAGATGATAATAAGTAATAATAATAAGTACTGGTCTCATGGGAGGTTTTAGTAGACAGTCTTATGAGCACCCAAAGCTTGGTCTTGTACTTCAAGGGCAGAGGAAGGAATATCCCGTAGAGCAAAGACTCACTTTCCTTTCTCTCCCGTTTGTTTTTGGACAGTTTGTTTTGTCTGGATTTTTGTCGGTTATGTCCGAAAGAAAAAACACACTGTATCTGGTGAGTCCCAGTTACCTTTTTATTCATTCTTCCAAGAGAAGACAAGTGGAATTTCAGGGATGTTAAGGTAGACCCTCCAGTAGCAGGTGTGTTACAGAGTGCAGTTATGCGGTTTACCTCAATCCCTTTGTGCTTGAAGGCTTTTTACAGCAAATAGTTGGATAAAATCATTAGAAACATAAATTATGTCATTTAATAAGCAGTGAAATTTGATTATCTTGACACCATTTAAAGGGGACCCACACAGGTATTGTCCCCATACATATTTAAATAGTCTTATGGCTATGCAGTTAGTTTCCAACAGAGATGACTTGAGGATAGTCTATGCATGGGTGCTTTTTTTTTAATGCTTTGCGTTGAGCCCCTGACCTTCTGCAATGCTTAACCCTGTGGTCTGCTGCTGAGCTACATCCACAGCCCTCATACTATTCCTGAAGGCATCTCAGAGGGAAACGGATGCCTGCCAGATGATGAGTACATTTTCAGGAGTTCCTTAGTTAACTGGAATTTTAGACAACTTTGAATTACTGTGCAGGGCCAACTCTGAAAGACAGACCAGTTGATTGGCTGCTGCCACAGGCAGCCCCAGAGCTGATTGCTCTTCTGCCAGCAGGTGAGAGGAAGCCTGGGAGCGAACATCGTCAGCAGCATCGCTGCAGGAACAGGGATCATCGTACTGATCCTCAACCTGAGCCACAATTCCACCTACCTGAAATACTGTAAGGATCTGAACGAGGACGATGGCTGCTTTGTGACAGCTTTCATCACAGTATGTATCACCTGTGAAAACACTGGGCCTCTGGATCCTGACCTAAGTGTGAAACCCCATTTCTTTTTCCAGAACCCCCATTGGGAGTTTCCATTTCATAATATAGAGCTATGGACTTGGAGGCTTTCCTAGTCATTTTCCTTAGTCTTAGAATTATCATCTCCAAGTAGTTACCTCCTGGCTTCCTATGTGTGTGTCAGCTTATAAGGTGTGCTCCTGAGGGAGGGGGTGGGAGAGGGAGCTTCAGTAAGGGAAGGGATTTGGGGGTGCATCTGTCTGTGACTTTGCCTGTTGGTTGGTTGCTGTCTGACAGGAAATGGTATCCATGATGCTGTTCCTCACCATGCTGGCCTTTTGCAGTGCTGTGCTGTTCACAGTCTATAGGATTGGGGAAGCATTCAAGAGTAATAAGGTCAGTAGGAAGTCCTGAATAGCACATTAGAGAGTTTGTGCTTTATTCTTTTAAAATATGACCTTAATTTTCTGGAATTTTTTCCTGAAAAACTACTTCTCAAAAACTGGATTGCATATCTCATGTTGGAAATCTTATTATGAAACTGAAATGACACATGGTCACAGCACAGTCCCTTGAGGATCACACAAATGGAATCTTTATGAGTATAGAAATCATGGGTGCTTTGAAGGGACTACTGTGAGAAGGGGGTGAGGGAAACGTGCATGCGTTAGGGTTTACTCTTCAGTTTTGTTCCCAAAGAACTTGCTCATTTGTTCCTGCCCCCCACAATGTAATTCCCCTCTCTATTGCTCTAAATAAGCCTTTTCCTCCTGATTCACAGTGGCAACTACATTTTCACCCACTTCACACATTTATTATATCCTTGGTGGGAATTTCCAATTTTCAACCACTATACTAACTCAACTCTGACTTGTGGAACCTACTGCTCACCCTCTATGATCATCAGACACACTCCGGTCTCTATAATTTTTATGACCACTGTCCTGAGTTAGAAGATAAACCATTTCAGATACAGAGTTACCTTAGTAACTTGTCACTGACATGCTTTCTTTTAGCCCCCATTGGCCAGTCCATCTGATTTGCTTTCTAGCCATTAAGGGAATAATTTGACTGTCATGAGAGGTAGGGTGAAATTTCAAAAAAGACAAAAGAAGATATTCCTGTGTGATAAACTTTCTAGAATTGGAAAGTTCTGGGTAATCGATACAAGATGTTTTTTATCTTTCTCAGGTCACAGATGATCGTCTTTATGAAGAACTAAATGTTTATTCACCAATTTACAGTGAGTTGGAAGACAAAGCAGAAACACCTTCTCCCGTTGGTTCATAAGAATCAGGGGACCAGAGCAATCTGATTCACAGTGAAATCCTGAAAGACTTTTTACAAAATTATGGCAAAATTAGTTTGTTTCACTTTCTGCCAGTTTTACAATTATTCTCCGATGCCAATGTTTTAGTATGCTGTTTCTGATCCTCTAAATATCCCTTTTTGTGAATATTTTCCACTCCAAATTTCTTATTTTGTGTCACAATCTCACAAACATTCATTCTGGAAAATCATCAAGGAATAAGTTAGCTTATGAACAAAAGGAAAACAAGGAGGAAGTATGCTGAGAAATTAACTAAACTTAGAAAATCAGTAAATACCTTTCTTTTAGTTGTTCATAGAATTCTCAACAGCTATAGTTGGGCATGATATACATCTACTATTATCCATCCCTACCTATATAACTATTTTTAACATGATATATAATTTTATATGGAAATATTTTGAACCCCAGTGATAATGACTTTTTCAAAGACACAACATTTTACAAAAATTGTATATTTTCTGATCCATCATTACATTCACTAGCACAGTTATTGTTCACTGGTGTTTATAAATAGAGAATAGGGAATGCTATTAAGTCATTCAGTCTAATAGGGTACATAGGTAAAATCAAGGACATTTTGAGTGTATGTATCATTCAGCTAGGCACATGTGATGAATGATGAATACATTGATGAAGACGAATTGAAAAGTAGTCAATGGAAATGACAAGAAGTGGTCATGTATAACATATGTAGATAAATATTTACCACAAATTTGGTAGGTCTGGGCGTGTATGTCTAGAATCCCAGCACAAGGCCAGACTCTGTTACATAGTGAGTTAGAAGCCAGCCTGGGCTACACAGGATACTACATCAAAGAACCAAAGAAGAAATTGGTTCAAGTTGTTAACACCTTAAAAGATGTTAAACAGACACCAATTGACTGATATATTGAGTGTTTGAGTCTTTAATAAAACTGAATATTAATAACATTGTTGGGGAGAGAAGCAGTAATGTAGGAATCTGAATGGTGGAAGAGTAACAGAGGCAAACTCAGTCTTAGACTTTAATTCTGAGATAGTTATGAAAGTGATCATTATTAAATGAAGAATATCAAATTGCTAGAAGAACTATTTTGAGATAGAATTAAGTCAGGTTAAACTCCTATATTTAGAAAGGGAAAGACAGAATCAAATCCAGAAAGCATAACAATTGGTCGGAAAAGCATATTACAAAAGACCAGACAGCAGGTAGCGTGTGGTGGAGAAAGTCAAGCAAAGAGACCATACATGCTGGCTTGGGAAGAATAGGAGAAAACAGCAATCCTAAATGATTGCAAAATATGAAGAGGGGTTGGGGTGGGGTGGGCAGAGGGGTAGAACATTTGCAAAAGTGTTCAGAGAGACTGTGAATAGGAGGTAGTGAAGACAAAGAGCTGAGAAAATGACTTCATTGCTGTTGTTTAGATTTTTAAAAGAAACAAAATGAAGTTGATAACATAACCTAGTTAACAAGACCCAGTCAGACATTGAAAACTCTGTTTGGGGGCTCAGTTATCTGCCCCTTGAACATGGTGGGCACACTTTTATAAATATTCATATGTTCACACAGCCATAATTCCTTGCTTCACTGTCTACCCACTGTGTACTGAAGTGCACTTGTGACAGCCTTATGCATATTTCAACTGCTATTTTTACAATGAATCAGAGTTATTTCACTTGATTTTTGTGCTTGCAAATAAAGTTGAGAGAATAGGGAGGAAATTTTGAAGAAGAAAAATTGAGGGTGGAGATGATCATGTTTTGTTGTACACATTCATAAAGTTCTCAAGGATAAAGAAAAATAATTTTAAAAAGCATCGGGTAGTTTAAAACAATTAATTAAATGATGCCAAGGACCAAGAACAATTTTTAGTATTTAATACTCAATCCTTTCCCAGTAGAACTGGGTAATTAACTCTGGAGGCAGAAAGCAGAATGCAGGACTGGCTGCCAACCACATTTTGTTAGTTAATTGGGTGAACAGGACATGGTCATGTTTTGCTAGTTGATGATACTGATACTAACTCAATTGCTGTAGGAGCTTGTTAATGTGGCTTTCCCTGGTGAGCCTATATCATTCTGGGTTCATCCAAGAGGCACAACCAGTAGGAGGTGAAGATAGATGGATAGGAGTGGGAAATAAAATATAAATGGAAAATTCCCTAAACCAGAGGTCCATGTGATAGATGTAAATGGACCAGACCTTAAATAGGCAGGAGGCACTGGGCCCTGCCTTTCCTAGCAGCTGGCGCCTGCTTGCATGGGCACTCTTAGTTTATCTTAGGGCTAAAACGTTACAGCCTGCTACATAACTGAGCTCATGTGTCAGGAAGGAAGAGGTGCTTTCAAGCTCCAGGATGTACAGTAGATAAGATTTTGAGTTTTCAGAGCATAGAAATTAAACTAGAAAGAAAAACCTAAACAAATTTGGAATGATGGATATGTCAGACATTGGGAAGATTGCTCCCCGAGAAGCACCCAGCCAATGACAGAGAGAGCAAAGGATTCTGTTTAGGACTATTAAAAACACTATTTCATGCTAAATTCATATCAGCTTCATTGACCTTTCTTTGGGTTAGTGACTTGTTCAGCAGAAATAAAAACAGAACTGCCAGGCTTTTGCTATTTGAAGTGTCTTAAATCTGTTATTAGGGAGTGGAGGATATCTTATTTCCCACAGTAGAGAGAGAGAGATACAGGAGAGGATCAATTAGGGAGACTGACCCAAATGGTTAGAGAGACAGAGTAATCATATGACAAAGTATCTGCAAGATGGAGAAGCTGGAACATCTTTAGTGTGGATTAGTCCAATTCCAAGTTTCCAGAAATAAGGCATCTTGTGGTGTAGTCTGAGGCCACAGGCCTTAGCCCTTGGATTCAGGGACCAAGTCTGTGAGTATACAGCCTTCAAATTCCTTTCCTGCATTGTAACTCAGGACATATCAGACACCCCTACAACTTGTTGTGTTCCAGCCAATCAACCTAATGAGCTGTTAATGTCCTTTTCTAAGACTCTCATTTTATTTATTTCATGTCTTTCACATTATGCCTCTCGTTCACATGCGTCCCCCCCCCCGTCCCTTTGTGTCTGCTCTCTGCCCCTGCAACCTCCCTCCCCTGCCAATAAAATGAAGTTTAAGAGAAGATTAAAAAACAAAATTCTCATCATGGAGGAGGGACACAGTTTATACTCTTTGTCCAGATATATTTACCTGCAAGTGTTGGAGAGTCATTGGTCTGGTTTGAGGCCTGTGGTTTCTGCTACACCATAAGTACTGGGCCCTCACTGGGGCTCCTCTTGGATGTCCTGCGGTTGCACTGAGTCATGGAGCTCCTGTGGCTATGGTTCTGCAGGAAGTGCCCCTTCTCATGCTCCAGCAGATCATAGATGGGGTGGATGTTGGGGTGGGACAACTCAACCTTGGTTCTGATCCTGGGTATTTGAAGGGTTGGTCAGCCCACCAGCTCTCCCCCATCCTCACTACCAGAGTGAGCTCTCTAGCATTGCCCTGGTGGTTCTCCCTATGCAGCCAGGATCAAGGAGTGGGGAGGTTGTGCTGTTTTTAATGCCCTCAGGGTCGACTCACCTACACCTACACCACAAGGGCCAGATCTACTGTTTCCCAGGTCAGATACAGGGGCCATCCTCCCAAGTGGGGGCCATCCTCCCAAGTGCTGCCGCTGGTGTGGGGTAGGAACAGCTCTCCTACTCTTATGACCTCAGGGCCAGCTCTCCCAGTTTCCTCAGGTGCCAAGAAGTGGAGGGGGGCCTCTCTCTTGCTCTGCCATAGGACAAATGAGCCATGGGACCAGATCTCCCATGTTCACCCAGGTCCCAGCCAACAGGGTCAGCTCTACTGTGCTACCCAGGAGAGGTACAGAGACCGCTTTCCTGAGTGTTGCAGCTGGTAAAGGGGGAGGGTCAACTACCTAGTCTGCTTCATGTGGTGAGGAGTGAGGAGCGTGGGAGAAGCATCTCTCCCTGCGCACACCGCCACCTGATAGATGATTATCCCACGGTTACGCTTTCAGGGCCGCTCATTCATGCCCCATCAACAGGGTCAGCTCTACTGTGCTGCCGAGGCAAGGTGCAGGGCACACTTTACCAAGTGCTGCAGCTGGGTAAGGGAGAAAGGGTCAACTCACTGGACAGCTGCAGGTGGCGGAGGTGGGGGTTCGGGCGTGGGGAGCATCTTTCCCATGCCCTCATCACCACCCAGTAGCTGAGAGGGAGGGTGCCAGCTATCCCACTCTCACCCCCCAGGGCCAGCTCGCCTCTCCTCCTCGCTGTGAACACGGTCAGCTCTATGGTGCTGCCTAGGCTAGGTGTAGGACCTGCTCTCCAGAGTGCTGCAGCCAGATCTCCCTAGTGCTGCAGTCAGTGAGGGGTGGGGCCAACTCTCTCTATTGTACAATTCTATCCTCTAAGTCTCCAGTGGCATCAGGAGTCACGGACGTCAACACGGGCTGCTGCTGAAACAGTGCCATGAGTCCAGACTTGGGACCTGGCAGCAGCCCAGGCTGGGACATCAGCATGGCCGATTGCCACCCACCTCAGCCTGCTCCTCACCGCTTTTACCTCTTCGCATACGACCACAGGACATGAACCATTCTGTGTCTCTCTCCCACACCACACTATATGTTTGCTCACCATAACAGTGCCTGACTGGCCGGGTGTTGGTGGCACACGCCTTTAATCCCAGCACTCGGGAGGCAGAGGCAGGCGGATCTCTGTGAGTTTGAGACCAGCCTGGTCTACAAGAGCTAGTTCTAGGACAGCCTCAAAAAGCCACAGAGGAAACCCTGTTTCAAAAACCAAAACCAAAACAAAACAAAACAGTGCCTGGCTTCCCAGCACCACAAGAGCCATGCTTTCTCTTTGGCATGTGTGTGGGTCTTCTTGTCACGCTCAGTCATGATGGTTCTGGGAAGGACCCGTTAATGTCCTTCGTAATCCCCAACCTAGAACATCATGTTCAAACTATCTGCTTAGAGAGTTCCTATAAATAAATGTGTCTACAGCCAAATTCAACATCCCCTTAGCTGTTTTACCCTACACACTTAGACATCTGTTCTCACTAATTATAATGTAGAAAACTCAAGCAGTTATTTTCATTTTCCCCAGAGATCAGCAGGCAGCATGACTTTAAATGCTTATTTCATGATTATCACAATATTTATTTTTATTTTGTGAGTGTATCATGTTTGTGTGTTGGGGGGACATGTGTCCACATGTGGAGGTCAAAGAGGGACATCTGGTGTCTTCCTTTATCACTATCCATTGCCTTGAGATGGGGTCTCCCACTGAGCTGGTAATTACGTTTCCTAGGTTAGCTAGGCATCTCTGGCTCCACAGTCTCCATGGCTCATCTGGGGCTATAGACATGTGCAGTCATGACAGATTAAGGGGTAGCAGGGGGTAGCACATTATTTCCAAAAGGAGAATATTTTTCATCTTGCTCTCTATTCTGAGAGTCTTCTAAAATTCAGTATATATCCCACTAATCTCTTGGATAATTATTGCATGTTTATATATGTCAGATTCTGTATGGCTGCCAAACAAGTCACATATATAAAACATTATCTTCTTTTTAAGAAAGCCTTTAAGCTCTTTTTAACATTTAGCTTTTTTAAAAATTGAGATGTCTTGAGAAATTCCTCAGTGATTAAGAACATTGACTACTTTTCCAGAGAACCTGACTTACATTTCCAGCACCTGGTTCTAAACCATCTGTAATTCTAGTTCCAGGGGGGATCTGATGTCCTCATCTGGCCTCAGTGACCACCAGGTATATATGTGGTTCATAGAAATACATGCAAGCAGAATGTCCGTACACATAAAGATTAAAACTATGTGTCTGCGTGTCTGTGTGTGAGTGTGAGCTTGTGCATGTGAGTACAGTATCTGCAGAGGCCAGGCAAGGGCATCAGATCCCCTGGAGCTGAAGTTACAGGCATTTGTGAGCCTCCCAATATGGGAGTGGTTAATCAAACCCTCTTCTAACTGCCTGTTTATTTTCTCTTTACTTTTTGTCTGGATGAAGGCTCTATCTTCCTTCCTCAGCTCTATGAAATCCACCAATGAGTCCTTGATGGCCTTGTTTATCTCTGATACCGTGTTTCTCATTGCTCATTATTTGTTAGATTTTTTTTCTTAGCTTACTTTAAATTACCCTCTAATTCTGTATATTTTAAAATTCCATTCTATTTTCTCACAGTTATTTAAAACTTGGCATCTTGTAGTTCTAACCTCCATAGCACATCTGAGCCTGGTTCTCGGTTTATAAGTAAGGCATTAGTTTATTTTTACTTGTTTTTTAAAATATTACTTTTTTTGTGCCTCCTAATGTTTTGTTGAAATTTGGACAGATTATTGGTGACTGAAAATACTCAGCTAGCTACATACTTTTCCTGAGTGGAGATGGGAAAGGCTGAGTCTGAATACCTGTGTCATGATTACTCGGTTCACAGACACTTTCCCTCAGTGAGGCCCTGAGTGTGTGGGGAGAGCTGTCTCACAGAGGCTCCTGTCAGGGTCTGCTCTTGCTGTGACCTTGCTTCTTCTCTTCCTGCTGATGGCTAGGAAGACACTCTTGCATCCTCATCTGCTTTATTTAACACGAGGTGTTGTCTCTTCCATTACGCATGTGGGGGTGAAGGAGGCTCCTCAAGCACTCCAATTGAACTTCGGTCTTAGGCAGGTAGACTTGTGGGACTGGGGCCTGTGGCCTTCTCAAGAGGGCTGCTCCTCTTCCAGCTATAGTGATGGCCGCCAAGTGCACGCTGGCCCCTCCAGGTGCAGCCTTTTGTTTACTGATTTTCTTTCCCAGATGAAGTAGATTTGCACCCATGCATTCAGGTTACCTGCATTTTTTCCAGATGAAATTGTCTTTTAATTTCTTAAAGGTAAAGAGAAATGATTCCCACACTGTGTCTCTTAGTGTTCCTGTAGGCAGAGCCTACAACGAACTGTGCACACTTTTACTCTGGATCCCCATCTCCAACACACTGTGTCATACACTATTCCTGAAGGAAAGCTCGCAGGGAATTGTGAATCCCTTTTCTCTGGGTCTCTCAGTTTCCATCAAACTCCTTAAGTCGAGTCTTCTTTCAGACTTGTGTCTTTGGTACTGTGTGAATGGTCCTGAATGGCCTCGTACCCTCTAGTTGTAAGGTTACTGATGTTTTCTGCAGACCTCATCCTCTTAGGGGTCTATGAACCATCTCAGGATTGAACAATTAAGCTGAAAGACAGAACAAAGCAGTTCGTTAATCCCAGAGAAGCAAAGACAAGAAGGGAATATGGAGAAGAAACCTCAAGAGAGCCCGGCTGTAGAAGCTCTGGGGGAGATTAGTCACCTTTTGTTTGTTTGTTTGTTTTTATTTTTTAATGTGAATTAGATCAGCTAGAGATAATAAAAATACAGGAAATAAGTCAGTTGTTGCTCCTGACTGAGAGGAAATTGCAGCAATCACTAAAAGTGGCCACATTAGTTTAGAAACACCGAGGCAAGCGAATGCCCACAGCACCAGTGGCCTTAACAACCCCCACCTTTGGCAGGGCTTGTCCCCTCCCACCACTCAAGGATGAATGTATTTTCATTCCATGCATCTTTGTCTACATTTTTTCCTGACAAACATCTCCTGGATCATATGATTATACAATATAAATTGCAACCAGAATGTTGAACAAACTATTGTGGGAAATACTGACCTGTTCATGCAGCCCCTTTAGTGTATGGTAGACTATGGAATAAGGCAGGTTCATAAACTTTTTTTCTAAATTCTTGTTGTTAAACTATATACACACTCCTTTCCCACCCATCGCTGCATTAAAAACTATCACACAGAGGGAAATTCAGGGTGTCATGGGACCTCAGGGAGGATGCAGAGGTCTGTTCCTGGGGGGAATGGTCTCTGACTGGCATTGAGGAGGTTAGCATGAAGAGAAGAAAAAAATGATGTACAGTGACCTCAAGGTAGTCTTTCTTCCACATCTTTGTGGAAACG